GGACCGCCAGGCAGCTGACAATGGGCGTATCCCCTGCTGCTGCTGGCTGTTGACACACGCTTTACCACCTGCCCCTTTGGCTCTCGGCACCTGTCTGACACACGCCTGCCACCACTCCTCCTCCCATGCAATCCACTGCAGTCCCCCCGCCTTCCCACACTCACATCCCTGACCAGCCATGGGCGGAGGCGGACCAATCAGCCCCATCGGGGCCGCAGGCCGTGCCTCGCAGTACAAGGGCGGCATGACGACCAGCGTGATGTTCATCGCAGTCGTGGCCGCCTCGGGTGGCCTGCTGTTCGGCTACGACCTGGTGAGGGACCGGGCGGGGCAGTGGTGTGGCGTCTCTGGGACCCCTCGGCCCGTTTGGGGCCCAGGGGGCACAGGCATCACGGTGCACGCAGCACGCCCCCCTCCCACACCTCCACCCACCTCCTGACCTCCCCCTGCTCCCCCCCGGCCCCTCGCTTTGCAGGGTGTGACGGGAGGCGTGGAGGCCTCGGACTCTTTCCTCTCCAAGTTCTTCCCGGGCACCTATGAGGCCAAGCAGGCCGCCGCGGACGACTACAACCCGTGAGCTTCGGGCGCCCCTGCGCCTGCATCCCAACGCAGCCCCGCGCCAGCGCTGTCCTCGCTGCTGCAGCGCGTGCCGGCACTCGCCCGCTGGGTGCTGGCCGGCGTCGATCTCCCTGGCTGGACTGACGTTCCGCACCCGCCTCACCCGGCCCACCCTGCAGGTACTGCATGTTTGACGACCAGCTGCTGGCCCTCTTCACCTCTTCCCTCTTCATCGCTGGCATGGTCATGGCGCCGGTGGCCTCTGTGGTGACCCGCAAGTGGGGCCGCAAGGTCACCATGCTCATGGGCGGGCTCTGGTGCGGGGCAGGCGGGCGCCCTGCCTGCCTGCCTGTCTGCCTGCCTGCCTGCCGCGCTGTGGCAGGCTTGAAGCGGCTGCTCGCATGCCAGCCTCGCCTGCCTGCCTCACGGAGAGCCCCGTCCCGCGCACCGCAGGTTCCTGCTGGGTTCCACCCTGAACGCCGCCGCCCAGAACCTGGCCATGCTCATCCTGGGCCGTATCTGCCTGGGCTTTGGCATCGGCTGCGCCAACCAGTCGGTACCGCTGTACCTCTCCGAGATGGCTCCCTCCAAGTACCGCGGCGGCTTGAACATGATGTGAGCCGGCTGTGTGTGGCTGTCGCTGATACAGGCCGTGGGCTGTTGCTGTTGGGCGCGGAGGGCATGGATGGATGTGGGGCTGGGAGTGCAGGAAAGGGGGGTGGAGGGAATCCTGCTTTGAGGATGTGCCACCACCAGCACCCCACCAGCCTGCCACCCCGCCTGCCAGCCAGCCTGCCTGCGTGCTGACGCGTGGCCCCTCGCTCTCCCTGGGCGCTCCGCCGGGTACCTTCCGCACAGGTTCCAGCTGGCTACCACCATCGGTATCCTGGTCGCCCAGCTCATCAACTACGCGGTACAGGACTGGGACGAGGGCTGGCGCCTGTCGCTGGGCCTGGGCGCCGTGCCCGCCTGCATCCTCACCCTGGGCAGCATCATCCTGCCCGACTCTCCCAACTCGCTGATTGAGCGCGGCAAGAACGAGCAGGGGCGCAAGGTGCTGGCCCGCATCCGCGGCACGCAGCAGGTGGATGCAGGTGCGGGGCGGGATGGGTGTAGCAGACAGAACAGGGGACGGCAGACTGGGCAGGGGCCAGGTGGCTCACCCCCGGGCTGCTGCATCGCGTGCGTGGGGTCACCGGGAGCCCGCGATCACGGCATCGCGCCGCTGCCTGCTCACCTCTGCTCACTTGGTTGCTTGCCGATCATTGTGCTCGG